TTTTTTTCCTACTGAACCGCACCTGCCACAGCATCGGCCATCTTGTACAATATACCAGATTTGTCAAAATAGTGTGGAATATTAAATCGGTTCAAAAAACTCACCCGAGCGGTTTCATTTTCCCACAACTCAGAAAACAATGATTGTACAGAATAAATTTCGCGGACGCATTCCGGTGAAATTGCAGACTTGACACGCCCATCAAAACCATAGAAATCAAACTGAGCTTCAACAACCGCACTGCTGCTCCAAACAGCCAAAGCGGCTGTTGGATATTTTGCCTTGAACCACACAGCTAAAGCGCCAGCATAGCTCCCTCCCACTATAAGCCAACGAAGCTTTTTCTGAAGGAGCTTTTCCTCAACAAACTTCTGAAAACCACGTATATCCTCCAAGGCAATATCCACATTGAGGTACTTTTTCAGTTTTTCTGTCTCCGTCAAAGGAAACGGAAGACTTTTTCCATAGTATCGACCTTCCAAAGTAAAAAGCAACATATTTCGTTCATGCCCGTACATTCCAGGGTATCCTCTGGGAGAAGTAAAATCCCCAGATCCGATTCGGATATAAAGCATGGCCAATTCACTGTTATTCCACGCTGAATAATCCACCCAATAACGTTGATCAAACGTAGAGCTTCCATTTTTCGAATGATCCACAAGCTGCCGAAATGTTGCCGGAGTCTTATTAAAATATTCCTCGTCGAAAAGGTTACCACCGCCTTCACCAACGGGTGAGCAAAAAAGCTCCCCGCGATTAAGGCGTTCGGGAATCACGTCCAGTGGGAGTAAACCACTGGCCCCACACGAAGCCAAAAAAAGTAAAACAATGGATAAGAAAAAAAACATGAAATAGATGATTCACTTAGATTCTAAGAATGAGAAAAACCCGCCAAAACGACAAAAAAAGAGAAACAAAACAACACAAAAAATTAAAAACAAAATCATCAAACACCAAAAATTCAAAACAACACATCGTTACTCGATTACTCTTTACACGAATACTGATTTTACTGTTTAATTTTCATACGAACAAAAAAACAATAATAATAAGTTTTCAAAAACAAAAACTCATCAACGCAACTCACTACCATAAGGGCCAAAAAAATACTCAAAAAAACAAACCATGAACACCAAATCCCACTATAAAACGGCAGTGTACTAAAACCGATTTTTGCCCACAGCCAATGACTTATCCGACCAGAACGAGGAACAAGACGATAAGATGGAAATACACAATCCGCCGCCGCACGGCATGCCGCGGTGCCGGCCGGACTTCTTAAAACCCGGCCCATGCGACCGGTGCGAAGAGACAACCCTGCAGCTACCCCGTTGCTGCTCTGCAGGCGATTAGACAAAAGCATGGCGTGGGCGCCGGGTAATCGGAGATGTGCCTCACGAAATGGTGGGCGCGTTTTCTTCTTGAGCTGGAAATTCTCCGCCCCCAACCGCGCCCTTCCGCGGGGAGAGGGAAGGAAGCCCCTCGCAGACGCGACGCGGCTCTTTGTGGCGGACGCCCCCTCCCTTTTTTATTTTATTTATGGATTAATTGGCTTATCGGCCTGTCGTTTTAACGATTCTTGGCGGCGGCGGGATGCCGGGCCGCCGCGCTGGCCCGGGAAACGCGCGACGGCGGTGTGCTTTCCGCGCCCCCCGCCAAAGCCTTCTCTCCGGCGGCTGGCCGGAGCGGCCGTCAAACCCTTTTGAGAGGACAAGCGCAATAAAAAGATGGACACAGAGGGGCGAAAGGTTTCTGGGTTATGAACGCGGGGGACACGCGATACTTATTGCGAGGGCGCCTACACTTAATGCTTCTACTGCGTTTGAGTGGCTGGCGGAGAAGTCGGCTATATTGATGTTTTCGATCGACTCTTCTGAATGATCTTCAAAGGGGTTGGGTGTTTGATCCCGGAACGGTTTTTGTCTGCAGGCCGTATTTGATTGACTGCAATTTTCCTACTTTTTTTTTTTTTTTTTTTTTTTTTGCGACATGGCATTGGAGAGCCCGCATCGCCACTCAATTTCCCTGTACTCTGTGTGTTTGAACTGGATCTGTGAATTTGCTGCGCACCGAGACGGAAAATGAAAATGAGAAGCGGAATCTTCCTCGCATCCGCATCACGCTGGCCTTGGCTCCTATTTTCTTTTTGTGCGATGGCGGGGTTTCTAAAAGATTTTGGGATGCGTTGTGACAATAATGGTACTGGAAGGATCTCGAAACCTGTTTGTTGCATGCAGCCATAATAGGAAACCTAAATACCTCCCATTTTATTTATTTATTTGTATTTTGAGCAACGGAAATGCTTACTGGCCATCAATCCACTTTGTGGGGGGATACTTCTCTGTTTATCTTTGATGGTACTGGGCGCATCAATGCTGACCTTTTTTTTTTCTTTTTTTTTTTTTTGCGTGCCCTCTTTCCATATCGAGGCCATTTTTGGTAAGAACACACTTCTCCCACACGGCATCCAGGCGAATGCTGTCATGGGAAGGGTGCCGCATTTATAAGGTACTTTGCGTCAACTCTATTCCACTCTCTCGTGGGCCTGCCTCCTGGGCAATGAGGGGTAGTTTGGTGGCCTCACTCTTTTCTATTAATAGAAGCGCAGCGACAAGGAGCACAGACCTCTCATTTTGGTATTGGAAACGTCGGAAATCGATTGTGCGTTCGCACTGAAACGTGTCTTGTCAATTTATGCACATACATTTCAGGAAATTTTATTGGAAACCCATGAAAAGGAGGGAGCCCACCCAACCTATACACATTCTCTCCATGGCTTATTTATTTCTTTATTCATTTTTTTGTGGGCCTCTCTTACCGACATTTGGTGCTTGAATTAATTGAAGGAAGGCGTTCAAATCTATCTTTTGCTTTTGGACAGCCACCGTTTCTTTGGATTTTTCACCTTACTGCAGGGTCCAGTGATCCTGCAGATCCCACCGAAGCGCCTCTTTTTTAAAAGTTTGCCATTTAGGCTCAGAAGCCGTGTTTTTTTTTTGTTTTGTTTTGTTTTGTTTTTTTGTTTTGTTTTGTTTTGTTTTTGTGCGTGTTTGTATAGCCAGAAGCATTACGGTGAGATAAAATGATATGTTATCCTGCCTCTTCTGTTGTTTTGTCTTCAGCTTTGGGAAGAGTGTTCCAGCTCCACTGATGTGGATTCCACCGTTCTGTTGAATCGGTGCCCTTGCTTTTGTCTTTTGTGACTAACTTCTGGCCGCAATGTGGGCGAGTGGGCGGAGTGTTTCCATGGGGGCGTGAAGAATGCGTAGCAGAGCATTGACGTGCGTCACTGTCGCCAACCCCGATCCCATTGAACCGCATCTCCCTCTATTGTGTGTGGCATTCCTCTTGCCTTGCTTCCCTTCTATTTTCTTTTTCCTCCCCATGTTGTAGGAAGACAACAGGCTACGCAGCACGGTAATAATTGGGCGACGAATATGGTCACGGGATGGGCGGTGATGATGGCGGCGGCGCGGCAAGGGCCGGGTTTGCATAAGGAAACGGGCTGTTGTGGTGGCATCCCACTTTTGGGGTGGCGACTTTCCACGTATGCGCTCTACCTCGTTTTGCTGCTGCTTCTTCTCCCGCAGAGCGGAGTTGGGCAGGCCGCATGCCCCGAGATTGAAGTAAAAGTTTTAACCCTCAATGTGACGGATCTCCCAATTCCCACATACCTTTCGGAATCACTTTACCACGGATTTGTTGCGGCATTATGGTCGCGTAACTACATTGTTGGGGAGAATGTACGTGTGACCCTCATCAATAAATCGACCACGATGGCTGAATCCGGTAAGGCCATTGAAGAAGCTTTGAAGGCTAATCCTGATATTTTTATTCTTGCTAATGCCTTTGGTGATACGTTGCTGCGAAATTATTTGCCTGTCATTACGAATCGAAAAATTGTTTCATTTGCCCCATTTACCGGGTCGACGTTGGTACGGCAGTGGAACCAACACCTGTACTTTGTGCGTGCTGATCCATTGGCCGAGCTTTTTGCACTGATCCGCTACGCCTTGTCCCAACTACGGGTGCGTCGGCTGGGCTTCATGTATCTAGAGGATGTTTCTTTCGGTGATGAGGAGTACGAAGCAACGAAAAACGTGATGACGCGTTTTGGTTACAATTTGAGCGGTGTCTTCGCTGTGAAGAGCTCCTTGGCTCATGAGGCCGAAAACTCAGTGTTCGACGCTGCGTGGGAAGCGTTTGCGAATACTATGCCGCAGGCCGTGATTGTGTTTGGCTCACCGATAAAAGACACCGCGAAGTTCATTAAGAGGATGCTGACGGACAATCGCACCGCTAGCGCTTACCTGCTTGTTCCCTCGGCGGTGCAGGACATCACCGTCGAAACGTGGCGTTCTGCCGTGGCTGGTGGTATTAAGTTTGTGTCTGGGCAGGTGATCGCGACGGGGACGAACCCGCTGGCGGAGGATATTCAGTACGCCGCCATCCAGCGCTTTCAGGGGGTGATGCGGAGCTACATGGAGAAATTTTTGCCGGAAAGCAGTAGTCTTCGCAAGAACTTCCCCGACGATGATATTGAGGGCGAGATGATGGTTGCAGGGTGGATAGCGGGCGAGATACTTTCACAGGCTTTGAACAACCGCGAGTGGCTTAAGGACATTAATACGTTTTTGGCTTCTCTGTTCAACCAACGTCGGTATATGGTCGACAACCTTGTGATTGGCGACTACGGAGGCAGTTGCCAAGGGGTGGCTGAGTCAGAGGGCGCCATGTGTTACTGCAACCAAGGTGGCCGGACCGTGTACATGAAAAAGTTTGTGGAGGGATACCGTACCGACCCGCTGGTTGACGGAACAATCTCATTCTGGACATGGCAGTGCAACCCCTCGGAAGCAGTGATTTTTCCTCCTTTGAACGGGTTTGCCATTGCATTGCGGGATAATCCCCTTGCCTTTTTTACACTTCGAGATTTTGGGGTAGGTGCGATAGCTGCGGTGAATAACAACACTATTATTAGGCGTTTTGCGTTCACAGTGAATTTCGTGAATTCTACTGTGGATGGGGCTGCCGCTGCGCTTGTGTCAGAACTGAAGGTGAAATTGGTTGATGTTGTTACTGGCGTGGTGACGAATGGGATGCTGGAAGTGGAGGATGTGGCGTTCATCGACCCTATTTACCTTCAGCCGCGTATTAGCAGGTTCAGGAAAAACGTGATTCGCCTGTTGCCGACACTGGAGCAGCAGTTCTTTGTGATTGCGAAGTACCTCGGGAACACGAGTGACGCTTCGGCGCACGCTGTGATTCGCAGCGACGATGGAGCCACGATGGCGGAGGTGCTGCGGCTGTCGCTGGAGACGTTCGGCGGTTCGCTGCTGTCCACTAAGCTGCTGGCTGGCGGCGACAAGATGGCGGACCACCTGCCGGAGGAGGGCGACGTGTTTTTGGCGGGCATTTCTGCCGACGATGTTGGTGCGATCGCGCAGCACGTGGTGTCAAACGACGGTGTGCGCGTGTTCGTCACTCTTTTCGAGTTTTCGCTCCTGTACCCCGAATTTGTTGCTGCGTTCCGTGACGGTGCGGGTGCCGACCGTGTTGTGTTTGCGACGAGCCTGCCGCACTGGAACGACGACAAAACAACGTCGGAGACCGCCCAGAAGTTTAACGCTGCCGTGCCGGACGTCAATCAACGGACGCCGCTGGCAATGATGGGCTTTGCCGCCGGGCTGCTGGTGGTGACCGTCCGCTCGCGCATGGAGAAGGTGAGTGCTGAGCTGTTTGAAAACTTCTTTTTTTCCAACGTTGTCATCAGAGTGGAAGACATGTTGTACGGATCCTTCATTGATGGCAATGCATGCCCTGTTACTGAGAGCGGTGCTGGGTGCGG